TAATGACCGAAAAGTTGTAAAAATGCCACAACGTAATTTTCTATAGTATTATAATATATTTCTGTACAAGAGTTTCAACAGTGGAAACGGTTGACTTTAAACTCATTTTGTACAGCGAGAACTTTAATTTTAAATATGCTATCCTTAAAGAGATTCAAGCGATCCTTTTAAAAGTAAATACCGCTTGTCGCATACTACGGTCGCGACCGAAGTTTTTGCAGCGGAGACCGGTCGCGGCCCATTTGACTCCGGATGCGGTAACACTAGATGAGGGCACGACCTATTTCTGTGCACTTTTTGCTGGCGCTACCTCCCCACCTCCCTTCCCGTTCTGTGCCGATGCAAATTCCGCGTCCTCGAAAACGTCTCTTGCCTTACAATTCGGAATAACAAAAGAAAAATTCTTTTGTTCAATTACATTCAAAATTATAACAATCACTTGATTATTAATGAAAATGAAAACAATGAAACTTACCATCGCGTCATATTCCTATAATATGATCATGTAGCATCAATAGATATGTGTCAACACACATGTGTAGATGAAGGATATGTGTTTTTGGTGACCACACTGTTCCTCTCAGGCTCGAACATGCAATCATCACCACCTCACTATATGTCCCCACCGAGGGACTCGGAGCCTACCCTAATACGGGGTGACTAGGCCATAGTCAACCATGCTGGCCAAGTGCGGGTTGGTTGACTTCACATATATCTTTGAATTTCTCCGCCGATGTGTACAGGTTGCATCACGATGTTTTTCCTTCACCGTAGGAACGTCGGGTAAATTATGTACATATGAAAATTCAAAAATCGAAAATCACATTGGTACATGGCGGGATTCGAACCCAAGACCTGTAGATTACAAGTCAAGTGTTCAAACCACTGAGCTACCGACGCTCTATCAATGCAATGACTGAACGCTATTCCAATCAATGAAAGATATCTATCATATATATTACCCAAGTAATGAATTTATATGCCTTCTCACACAATCCATAATTCGGTCTTCATCTACCCTTGTATCGCATTCCTTTTTATTTATATGCCCACACTAAAATAGGAATAATGTAAATAAAGTTTGCTAATTCTAACTAGAATTTGAATTATACGTACGACTATGTTATGTTGAGAGAAAATAATCAACATACTGATAGGTTAATATCGCACCTGCAGAACTTATGGTGCTGTCGTGATCACTTAACAATCATTGACATGATGTTCATTTAGCTCTTTCTTATTCGATAAATATTAATCTACACTAAGCAACTCTATTTAGTAACAGAGATTGGAAAACATATTGTTACTCTTTTTAAATACATAGAAATAGATGGACTTTAATATAAGTTTCGACAGTAAAAAGACATATGCGTATTGTTATTATAGATATAGTTACCAAAATTATTTTAACACAGCAGTAGAATCTCATACCAACTGGAAGACAACATGTTGATAGTTGAGTTGAGATAAACCTTAGTATTACAAAATACCTCATTAACTTTAAAACAATCTGCACATTTAACTTTTACAACACGCCTTTGTAACTATAGTAATACACCTTTATTATACGTGGTTGTTTTCTTGAACACTTGACCTCTACACTCGCCGTTTCAAACACGACGCGCGTCGTTATTTATGAACGTATGTAAGAACTAAAAAGACTAAAATTGTTATAAAGCTAAGTCTTGCACGCAATTCCCTTGTAATGAATTATAATGTTAGCCTTTATTTTATATCAGAATAACGATATAAACGGTCGAATCCCAGCTGTTGCGTAATTAGTTACAGCTTTACATTCTTAAAATATTAAATAGCAAATGAATTCTACCCATTGCTAAAATACTCAGCTTTTTAAATTGTTTATAGGTAAGGAACTAAATTATTAATGAATGGTGACCAGGGAAGAAAAAAGAACAGTCAGCAGATCACGAGGCAGATGCGTTGATGACTTTGTACGACTTCAAGTCAGAATGTGGATAAGGTTGGTCTATTGAACTGGATCTTAAGGCATGATGAGAAAGAGAAAGGGCCTATATCAAGCGTTGATTGCTAAAAGCTAATATAATCAAGGAACATATACTTACTTTACATACATGGATACTTAGGGTACTACGTATCCGTACTCGTAGGTATACGAGTATGTATTCTCTTATATCTTCAAAGGCTTACTAAACGTCATCGAACAAGCATTCCCGATTTTATTAAATAGGAACTAAGAGACATAAATTCAATGAAACTCTCCAACTCGCTTCCGAGAATTATTTATACCAATAAAACAAAAGCCTGAATCCAAGACCATCCCGTTATGTGACTCCATATCGCTATCCTTTTCAATTTCGTAATATCAATATATAGTCGCGTCCTTCTTACTCTTCAATGGTGACTACCGGATTTCAGGCGCGCAAGAGCGTGGGACCAGTTTTTATGCACCAACCACAACAAAGACATGCCTACAGAATCCGAATTCACGATGATGGTAGTCAAAGTATTCAGAAATAAATAAATACGCCAGTAAATGCCGAAGATGAACAATAGTGTTACACATGACGATCAGTCACTCGGTGACCGCGGAAACTGGTTCCTGGGGAGATGCACAGTCACTCCAAATATGTACTAATGTGTCATCAATTAAAAAAAATATATCGAAGACGCTATTACTCACTTGTAACATTCGCGCAAAAGTATAACTAAATGTTGCACTTAAAATTCCTTATTATTTCATCGTCTTCCTCAGCCAGTGCTTGTTCAGTTGGTTATAGAACTTATTAATAAACTTAACGCCGGGGCCACTGCCGGCCCTAATTCGCATCAATTAAATAAAACATATTACGTTTGTGTTCTACGATAATGTAAATCATACTTCATACTAATATTACAAATGCGAAAGTTTAGATGGATGGATGTTTGTTAGAGTTTGTAGCCTAAACGGCTGAACGGATTTCGATGAAATTTGGTATATATGTAGAGGTCAGCCTGGGAGAACACATAGGCTACTTACTTTTGTTTTTTTTTTAATTCCACGCGGACGGATTCGCAGGCAAGAGCTAGTCAAAACATAATTTGTACACAACTGACAGTTCAACTTTAATTCCAAGAATTAATTTTATATTTTAAAGCAGTATGTTAATGCATAATAAAATTACAATTCTTCTAATTCTGTAGAAAGAATTAGTAATTTTTTTTTTAAAAATAAGGCTAATTAAAAAATCGAAGTCTCTGTTTGAATTTCAAAAAAGAAAAACATGTTTTACTAATTAGTTGGCCGTTAATATTTCTTTGTACAAAGAATTTCAGACTTGGATAATTCCCTTTTTATTTCGCATTTTTTTCATTAGTAAAGGTCGGGCTGTTAGAATACATTGTTTGAAGAGCACGTTAAGATGGTTTCAGGCGTTTTTGATTTTATTCTGAGAAATGTTTATCTTCGTAATATAAGTGTAGATGAAGCATTAAAACTTTTAATGCTAGTCAAAACAAATGAGTAGACATACAAATATACTCCAGATAATATAGAAAAAATACACGGAGATCGAGCCTCGAATGCGAGAGTAATTTTATTTGCACTTTACAAATTGCTACTCAATTAAAGAAATTAATTAAATTGTCTACTTCTTATTGAACCATAGCTACAGGTTATTTAAAATAAAATTCCCTAGATTAAAAAAATGAAGGATTGCTCCTATTTAAGGAATAACTTCTTTTTTAACAGAATTTCTCAAAACTGAATAGGCGGATAAATTCAATTTTAATTGTTTAAATAATCGCATTCAAGGTGCGTTTACTTTTATCAATTGTGTTTACTTTACTATACTTACTTTATTTATTCTTAACAATTCAAATCAACAAACATAACAGTGAGTTTTCATTGTATAGAACATGTATTACAACACTTCGTCATCTCTAAAATAGTGCCATCTGTTGACTGTGTTTGAAAATAAAATTTTAATTAAACTAGATTACACCGGCTAAACATCGATAAAATGATTTAGTAATAAAAATACGTTACGGTGAGTAAACCAGATTTGTACTACTTCTTTTAGTTATTTTTTAAATGACTTCCCAAAAGGAGAGGGATAGAAATTCGTCTGTTTTTTATAGAATCGTCTAGAAACTGCCTTTGTAGATCGGTTATAAATTTAGAGAAAACGACGTGTTCAAATATGAACGTTATGGTAGTGGTATTTCATTGTATAAGACTACATTTTCCGTTAGTAAAAATTACTTCAGCAAAATCAAAGATGACGTCACATACGAAAAATGAGATATTAATTTTTGCCAACACACAAAAGTCTATGGTGCATACGCGCACCGATATGTAAAACTTTATTTAGGTGTAGAAGGGAATACTGATCTTGTAGTTAGCGATAAAGACCGGAATTCACGAAAAAAGCTACCCGACGGGACCACCCAAAGGCCCAGCTGCCGCCCCGTTTATTTATTGTTTTAATTAAAACAACATAACTCAGGCTCCTCTGAAGGCACCTATGAGACAGCTCGTAATTCCAAAGTGTAGCTTCTGGGCGCAATCCTCGGAATAAATGACGCGTTCGCTTTTGCTGAGGGTGGCATCATGGCCAGATTTGTATTAGAATCATATAACGCAACTGTATTTATCTAATTTCACTTATTGTGTATCTTTATTATATTTGTTTCTTCGTTATTTAATTACTTTTTCTTTGTTGTTTAAGTCGCTGGCCTTAGTCATTTTGTTTATTTATAAGTGAATAGTGCAAACAACGGTAACATCGAAGTAATCATAAACCACATGGACATCCGTAATACTAGAACTACATAAACGTTACCGGCCTTTGTAAATATGATATGGTGACATTTCGTGTTTGTTACAGGACCCTAACTAAGGTGAAATAGCGATGAATAAAAATGTATTTCGTGTATTGCGCATTTAAAAATTACTTTAATGAAAAACATTATTTTTAAAAAATTAGGTTCTAATTACAATGAAAGGTTTTGTGATCGTGTTAAAGAAAAAAATCAAGACATTTATAGTTCGAAATATTTTATTAACAGATTCGTTATAATTTGTTATAGTGACAGGAATACAATATCCAGGTATACATTGGTTGGAGTGCTTACTATTTGAGATTCTCGTTAGCTCCTAACGCACATCATTTACACATTACACAGAAGGCTACTATTTTCTTATTTTACCTACACAATGAATAATAGGATAATTTAATTAATCGGCTTCTATAATTATATGTTACCGTAAGTTGTAACTTTAGTAATGTCTTATCAATTTATACAATAGAGGAACTACAAGTGCGTGTACTTAGCTGAATGCGTGAATTTCTGTCGTAACATACGTGAATGACATTTTTGACATCTTTGTTTTATTTAAAGATACTGAGGTTGATGGTAATATTTTATTTCACGTGTTACGACAGTTGACTCACCGATATATCATAATTTATTGCTTATCACTACTTTAATGTGCATATTTTTCAAACATATACATTTAGGTTTATGTATAGTTCACATGTTCGTTTAATCGTTTATTATTACTTATCCGCGTCTTTAAATAGTTAATAATAATTATTATCTATGGAAAAGATTCACATATATCTACGTCTTACATTTCTTCTTAATCTAATTAAATATTAAAGTTCAATAAATAAATAGTATATATTAATAAATCGATATTCATCGTAGTTATATGCCCACCACTATGTCTCTATACAGAGAGTTAATATCTTTATTGCTACAATTCTTTCTGCAAACTGCATTATAAGCATAATAAAAACAACAAGCCGTCTAATTTTAGCATCGATGTTCGAAGAGGATGTATTACATTTCTTCCTCTTTTAAACCCGCTACAAGTGCATCACTATTATTGAATAAATAAATGCAGAATCATTTTGCAGAAGTTATTCACAAGAATAATCCCTATATCCTTGATAAACAGAGATTCTATAATATAAGAATGGGTTTATCAATTTACAATGATTCCATAGAAACGAACATAAAAAATAAACACTTTGATTTAAAAAGAAATCACATATTTGAAACTGGTGCATGAAACTTTGAGTTTTCTCAGATAAATTGTGCAGTTTTATAACCAAACAACATGGAGCAAAGATACAGTTATAGACTATGCTAAACACTAAATATCCCACATATTTTTACATTTGATATTCATTTCACTTTCTTCCATCAATCAATTTTATACAGAGTCCACTAAACATATTTGACCAAGTGACCGACACTTGTGAAGTCCACTAGCATTCTACACGATCGATTGAGAGCGCGATTGAATATTCCACTTTTTAATGCATCGTCCAGTCTCGTAGCGCTTATAAAGCGCAAAATTGTGGCTATGGACAGTCCATAGAGTTGGGACTGGGTGGGCCCCCGATGACGCTGTACGGCGGACTGTGTGGAGGCAGCGACATGGGCCCGTGGTACATTTCCATCTCTAGCGTCGCGTCCGGAGAGCACTTCTCCGCCATCTTGTTTTCCTGCTTCGTCACCATTCGCCGCCATTTCGCACGAGCGTTCTGAAACCACACCTGCGAACAAAAAACATACGGTTGGTGTCGGCCGAGAGAATAATGCAAGCGCGCCGCGCATTGAAATGTCGCGAGCAAAATGAAAAGCCGATTCACCATAAAAAGAATACGAGTCGCAAAGCGACGACGATCCAAATAAAGTATGACTGGCTAAAAGTCTTCGAATGCTCCTCCATGATACCGTCCACGTTATTCGAAATACCTAATTAGGTTCCGTTGCAGCTCGAGGTTGCTTACGATGCGGAAGCTTGCTTTATTCGTTTAAACTTTTCGGCACTTTGCTTTTGACTTGTAGCCTGTTTAGGGAACTGCAAAATTTACCTGTAAAAATTAAGATAAGACTAGCAGGAGGGTTGCGTCTATGTAGCATATGACTAGCTTTGTGGAAATATATGTATGTTTTCAATTCTTATGAGACGTAGGCTGGTCTAATAATTTCATAGCATTGTGTCAAATATTTTTTAAAAATTAATTTTAAAATGCACTTCTAAATAAACCAATTTTAAAATTTTATGTCATGTCTTCCAAGTATTACCAAGTTTAAATTTTATTATATGTAGTACTTTTAAGATATAACAGTATTCACCGGAAGCTAGTATTCAAATATTGTTTGCGTGAGTTTGCGCACGCGCGCGAGTGGCAGGGCCAATGGTGCGCGGCCGCCGCTGGCTCCGCCCCGCTCGGTATGGCCGCTACTCATGCTGCCTAATGCCAAATTTAGTTTAGCGCTTATTTCGTATCCGTCACTATCGAGAAGCGATAACAACTTTTTATAGCCAAACAGATTTTAGCACACATAAAAACAGCATTAACTCTCATATTACTTATTATACCTAATATAAATTTATTTGTCTTAACGGAAATTTTTCTCACAAGTTAAAAAGATAACATAAAAAAAAATTAAAAAACCAACAGGAAATCTCGTACAGTGTGTGAAGTGATATCCGTATGTGGTTTCCAAGCCAAACCTGAAAAACTGCCTAAAAAAACTAAAGCAATTAACTGATTTTAATATGTTTTTATATCCAGTTTCCCTTTTTATACCCCAAGCTGACAGCTATAATTTTCAATTGCAGACGTGACATAGTTTTTCGAGCTGAAATCACACATTAGTAAAATTATTTCCTAAAGATGTGTTACATTTCTTCTTACTAATTGCCGAAAGCTGCCCGCTACTGTCATTCCTCGTGCATATTCATCATAAACAGAGAAGCGAGAGGTGATAGTGTCTCAAAGTGAAGCGATGAGAAATGGGCGAAAAGCGCGGGAGACGACGCGAGCGCGGCCACGATTGATGATCCCATGTCGACACATACCGCTGTCAAAGTCAAGATAAGCACGCAGCGCGGTGGTCCCGGAAAATAAATACAATTTAAGAATGAAAAAACATTATTAAAAATCAAATCACTTACAACCTACACTAACCAATAATTAACAATAGAAAGAAATAACTAGCTTTCGCCCGCGATGTTCACGAGGAATGTAAAAAAACAAAAGCATATAGCCATTGTTTTCTTCTAGACTATGCTCTATATCTGACAAATTTTAACAAACATCCATCCATCTAAACTTTGGCATTTATAATGTTAGTAAAATATACCACAAATGTATCCTAAAAATGAATATTAAAGCTCTTGAAAATTGATTTTTAAATAAGTCATAGACTAGACTTCCGCTTCTAACTTCGTATAGGAAAAAGCAAATCGTATTTGAATCTACTAGTTCTCGTTCTAGACAAAAAATAAATAATCGTATGTATTGTAATTGTAAGTCTCTATTACAATATAAACATTTTTTTCTTCAAATAATTATATTTAATTAAAACGTGTTTGTTAGGAGAATTAAGACCATGATAATATTTACTAATGTTAGTTTGTAATTAATGTGTAAAACATGTGCACCATTTTCTTATATCAGTAACCAATTTTAAATTCAGTTTCCTATAATATCCTAACTTTGACAAAGGTCTTGAATATTTGTGCTAAAACATTGCTAACAACAGAAAAATAAAAACAAATGTTTTGTATTAAAAAGTGTCAAACATTTAATTTCGTAAAGAATGACAACGTAGAGTTTCTAAGCCGTTATTTGTCTGTCATTCTCATTCACCTACTATTCCCAAAATATAGATAAAACAGTAAATGATAATTTACAATAATCCTGATCGCTCCCAATACTAACAATAATACAATCAGCTACTTGTGTTTCTTTATCGAAGAAAATTATCATAATTTTTTAACATCTTCGCGGCTCGGAACATCGCGCAAGTTCACTGCGTAGAATAGAATTTAATGTGTATAATGTGCGAGCGGATTGGGGGAAGGCACTACATAGCATGTAAACTTTGAACCGCCAAAATATTGAAATGGTATTTACTATACCTAGGCGTTGAAAAATATAGGCTAAAACCGTTATAATCCAGATTTACAAAGAGACAAAGTATTTGTTGAGTGTCCATTAAACGCTTGACACTTGTGAATTGGGTCGTAATAGTGTTATTCTTGTAGCCGACACAAATAAGTTCGCGGAGTATCGGCATCAGACATGTCATTTGTTACGTCACGTCTCGCCGAGTGACGTTTCAAAATAACTTTTCTCATCAAAAACTACGTCTCAATTTGCTTCGCTATGATCCCAATGTACTAATGAGGATGTGATGATGTATGGATTCATATCTCAATATAAATCACTTTAACTATAGTTGTAGAGCGAAAGTTTTTATATTATCGTTTAAGAACTTTCCTACACGCCAGTCTCGCGAGGAATCTTTGTTATGAACAAAACATTCAGTTCAACCGAAACTAATTGGCTCGAAGTTCTTTTTTGAACAATTAAATTTTAATATTATACGATATAACGTATTATGCTTTTGTTTTCAGGCGAGGAAATATGATTAACTTAAACTAGATAACAAACCGGCTCAATTTATCGAGGTACTCATGAGTAGGTCGTCAACCTTCGTATTATCTTTTTCGTACATTTAAAGGGACTAAGGAAACGTTTCACAAACAATACGAAAATGTACCTAACGTAAAAATACATTTACAATAAAATAACATTAAAAATCTGCAGATTTAACAAGTATTTTTTATTATCTGATAATGGTCTTAGGTAAGTAAGTACATAAAAGAAAACATGAATAAAATGTAAATAATAGTACATTATAAGATAAATGACTACGCTAAGAGAGTAAAATTAACATATTTTTATAAATTGTCACAACACACGCGATGTTCGACTATTAATTTTGAAGGTTAAGCAATTTTATGTGTAAAAAGAAGCTTGTTGAAATTTGTGTGGCAATAAAATAAAACATATAAGCATTTAATCGGCGGTAGCGAAATATATAAGGTCTGTAACACATTAAATAAAAAAGTTCAGCTTCTCTACATCGGCATCTAACAAAGTTCTACCACCGGCCATCAGAGAAGTTTCTAGAAGATGTAGGCTGAGTTTGAGTATCTGTAACATGTGTCATTTAATAGTGTGTTAACCACGTTTACTGCCTGTTTACCTTTAAAATCTCCCAATAAATAGGAATTTCATAAACTCAGTTGAACTATGTAGAGTGGAAACAGTACTTTACCGATTTGTTTATTTTAAATGTACAAACATTTCAATTAGTTTAGAAAAACATCAAATTTGCGATAAATAACTTTTTATATAGTGCAGTAAATGTTGATTTATATAAAAAATCTAATCAACAAGAAACTAAATTAATGAAAACGAAAATGAATACGGGTAAAGAGATTTTCCTACTCGAGATGAAATTTTAAAAGGAATTCATAAAGAGACCCTAATAAATGTCCAAACAAACATTGCGATCAAAGGCGCTCAAATATTCAGCGTATTGTAAATAAAAACCGTAGAGATGTGATTAATAGTCGCGTTTCCTTATATAAATAATATTTAAATAAATTAGGAGGTAGACACGGCACGTCCGCCTGGCGCGAGTGCGCGCGACCGAATGACAAATGGATGCCTTTTGAAATCGCGGCGGAAATTATCTGCCCAACCGAGCGTCTCTGGGCGATGCGTTGGTACTAATTACTAGAGCGTTTGATTGTGATCACCGGGAGTCTGCGCAAGCAGATCTCGCCTTTAAACGACATTCTTTAAATTCATTTTCGAGCGATACACCGTATTCATTATTGTCACCAAATGTACTTAGAAAGTAAAATTATATCGGGCCAAATGTCGAGGTGTGACCATCCGATACTAATTGCTGGTTTCGAGACGCCTTCAGCATTTCTTTGGTAATGTGTGTGCCATTGCAGGCATCTTTATTGTATCTGGAATCATGGCATGAAAACGATTTAAAAATAACCATGCGATTGTGTTTAGAAATAGGAGCTTAACTGATTTTATAAACACCTTTTACTTCAAAACTTTTCTAAAATACTAGCTGTCGCTCGTGACTACGTCCCTGCGTAATTAAAAAAAACATAGTAAGAAGCTTATGTGTTTATTCAGAATATGTTATACATCTGTGCAAAATTAAATCATAAACTGTCGAGCTGTTTCCGAGATAGCTTCTAACAAAAATCGATTTAATCATTCGCATTTAAGATATTAGTAAGATTGTTCGTATGTCTAAATTTCTGTCTGTACATTTTTATGATATAAATCCTGATATATTTAATGCATATTACGATCTTACAACTTTTTATATGACCGTGTTAATAATATGATATGGTATGAATAAAAAGTAGAGAAGCATTTATGGAGTGTACCGTGCCAATTGATCGGGTGACACGCCCGAACAAGGAAAGGTACTTTTTCAATCGACTAATTACGCAGCGCTACTTGAACTCGAGTCATTTTTCAGGAGGCAAGAAAAAAAAGAACGAAGAACGAGTGACAAATCACGCAATTGCGGACGCACGGAGAGAAATATGGTGCGGTTTGTTCTAAATACGCCAGCGCTTCGGTTTGGAGCTGTCGCGGGCGCATATATTACCGAGGCGCCCGGGCCAATTAGACACCCGCTCTCTACACACTGACACACACCTGCTTTTGTTTTTATACATATTTTGTATTAAAGAAATTCCTTAAAGTTTAAATCTTAATTCATCGATAGAAATATTTATTAGTTATTCTACCTAGTTTTATGGAAAAATTCTGTTTTCATTAACTTTTAGTTACAAACACGGCAGGGATTTCTGTCATATTTCTAATTATACAGGGAAAATCTTTACACAACATCATATAAAATTACTTGAAAAACAGGTCATTTAGTAAGGGTAAAATCGTTTGATGTTGCTTTATGTGCCTGATACTGTACATTGAAGTTACCGCGATTGAATAAAATCAATTATGATAAATGTTTCATACATTATCATATTTTAAACTGCACAACCGATTTCACTGTTTTGAAAATAAAGCACATGCAGGCATCGTTTATCTGAACTCTGTCAGATTCTATCTATAAAAAATAAAATGGGTCTCTTAACATTTCTCCACGGGAGCGTACAACCAAAAGTCGGTATACACAAAACGAAAAAGCTCTTATCTTGGCAAAATGGCGACGGCAAGCCGTGAGCTTTTTTCCAAAAAAATCTCGATCAATATTCGGAGGTTCGGAGGGAGAGGTTCTCTTTGCCTTCGTATAATTGGTTGGAGGGAAATTTATGCGGCGCGCGCTATCTGCGTCGGGTCAGCTCGGCTTGGCTCGGTATGTCGATAACTGGTAAGGGGACCCGGCCTACCGATCTTATGTTTCAAAGACGACATCTCTTGGGTATGTATGAACCCATTGTTATACGTATATTCCAAAAAGACCACGGCTAAACTTCGCCGGCGTATCCCGACTGCATTGGTAAGCTTCATTTATTTATTTTTACCCTAGATTCTTTTGGACTTTTCTTAACTCTGCCACAGCTTACAATAATATAAGACCTAATAGTGATGATTAACGGCCATTTACGTAGAAAGTAGTCAATGTATCAAACATCATTTTTTTTTCGATTTCATTAGTTCATTCAAGGAGGCCTTAGTGTAAATTCATATGCAAAATTTACACTTAGTAACCATTTAATAAGTGTGCCAGTTGGAAACCTATAAACCTGACCTAAAAGATCGTAAAGATTTTTGATGAATATACAAGCTATTTCAATGACAAACAAAGAAAACATCCACTAGATGTATTAAAAAACCAGAGCGAAGTATCAAAAATGGTGTAATTACGAAAACAAAGGAAGGCTCTTTGAAGGCACCGTGTAAGATCCACATTAAAGGGCCGCACTCGGTAAACAAATTAAAAGCAATATAAGGGTCTAAACGGCAAAGCTGCGCCGCGGTTTGTCCAATCTATTAGTACCCGAGCGGGCCGGTGGTAATGGTTGCGCAGATGGGCCTGTGGCCCTTTCAACTCGTTTGGCCCAACACCGCGGCTATAACAAAATCTACCATCATTTTTTATTGAAACATTCAAAAAACTAAACATTGTTTTTTTTGACAATAATAAAAATGTATCATGTCAGTTATTAAAGATTTATTAATTATTATTTAAAAAAATAATTATTAGCCGATGTTAGAAACAACAGTAGTGCTACGTACCAAAACTTGCTATGCGAAAGATACCAGCTTACCTGATAAGCTTCACGACTGTTCATTCCATCTATTGCTATTTTCTTAATTTACAATTAAAAATAACGTAGCAATGTGGTGCTTAATAAATCTATGAGATAAAGATAATTGGATATCTATATCATAAATAAAATATGCTGTAAAAAAATTAAACACCCAACAATTATTCGTTCAAGTAGTATCTTATACCTGTGACGATAAAATCACAAATGAATAAAGTGGTCGTGACGTATACAATTTACCTTTACCACTTTTTTTATTAACGAATAACGTTCGCAAAGCGGCGACTTCGATAAGCACGTTGGTAACAAAGCGAGCGATATTCTTACTACATTAAAATCGCATTAGCTTCTGGATAATTCACTAACTTTGTTAATGGAATTCCCTAGATTAAAAAATTACTTATATACATTTAAATAATTGTCAACGACACATTGGAAATAGCTTACCTTTACTACCACAAACTATTTAATTATCAGATATTCACTTATTGCAGATATAGTGGTGAGTACTACAACTATTAACAAAAGTCTTTGTCAATTATTTAGTCAAATATGTAATTGAAAGTTAGAAATAAATTACCTGTAAAACTCTCTTAGGGAGACCTGTTTTCTGGCTGAGTTGTTTCAAATCCTTAGCATCAGGGTTGTGGTTGATAGCAAAGTATGACTTCATAGTCCGCAGCTGGTGGTGCTTGAAGCTGGTGCGCATGCGCTTGGTGCGCGAAGTGGCGCCCAGACCGCCGCCGCCGCGGAATCCCATCTCCAGGTAATCGGGATTCAGATCTGATACGAGAAGAGAAGATTCACGCTGCTCAATGTAACACATTGAAATTGTTAGAATATAGTATTATTGTAAATTTAAATAATACTCCATATGTAAAAACTTTCAAAAACAATTTGCGGAACTATCGTAAGTCAAAATAAAATTAAATGTCTTCTTTTGAAGCGAGAAACAATGTCTATCATGACTTAATCTATTTTAATAGCAAGGTATCTGGACATTGACGATGATGGACCATCAACAAAGCATACCTGTAGAATAGCGACCATCAAATACCTCACTACAATACTACATTACAATTTTATAAAGCCTGTTGTAAACGTGGTACAATGTAAAATATTTACAATGTAATTCTGTTCTGTAAAAGATCCAAGCATTTTGTATGTGTAATTAAAACTTTTTACCCTGCGATATACTACTTTTGTATGGGGTTATAAAACAATTGATGGCAATTACAAAATAAACGGGCAAAGCACGCCCAATAACAATCAACGGAGTTTAAATTAAGATATGCATACAATTCGCATTGCTAATTCGCACACATAAAGTTATATGTCGTTAAATTTAATTTACCTTTTGCTGTGACCTAACAACTCCCCAATTAGCTTAAACGTGAAATTAAATTTCGTAATTTGAGGCATCGGATAATAACTGCATGTCTTACATGATTATGTTAATCTTAATTGTCTGTATTTATGGATGAGGTCAGTGTAACAAAGAATAAATACTTTGAATCATTGGTACAATATTAACTGTAGACATTTTTAGACGTACGTATTTTAGAAATGCTATAATTTGTTAAACTTTTTTCCTTATAATAGGACAAAGGATTTTTATTCTATAATATAAATTTTAAAGATTTGAATAGTTCAACTTTGGTACAACATCTTATCGATCTATTGCCGACATGAGCCGTAAAAAACTTATAGCTATGTGTGTTTACGTAGAGTTTGAGAAGGATATCAATATAATTTTGTCATGGTTTTAGAGCAGTAATTGTCCAAGGTGAAAATTATCAAAAAAAAATATAGATAGAAATGTTGAAATAGCAGTTATACAACTGTGAAATGGTAGGCAAAATGTATTTTTTTCAGTCGTAAATCGGTCTCTGCATACCGCTCATTGTTTTCTGTTACGATTTCTCAACGTCACCGTGACGTATCCGTGACGGGAAAGGCCGGCTGCCGCGTCGAGGTTTTAACGACCAATAAAGATTGTTGCCAATAAATATCCCGAAACATCGAGGGTGGAACATAGAGTGAAGTAGAATGTCTTAAGATTTTAAATGTTTAGACCTTGGCATTTTTTTGCATGTGTAAAGTTTTAAAATTGAAAGATATTGCAAGCGAAATCGTGTTATATGAACCAGTAAAATATGTAGGTATAACTTTTAATGGCATTTTTTTAAATGCCGCTGTTACAATGTGAAGGTTTATGAACTATTTTAGTAATATTTACCTATTTCAAATTATATCTGCTAACTTATAATTTGTTACTATTAATGAATATGAACAATTAGTATTGTAGGTAATTAGACGAACATTGATTGGTACATTACACCTATCACCGTTGGGCTCGATACGCATAAAATGCGACCGCTTTTGAGTAAGCCGCTACCGAACGTTTCATGTTCATGCTAGTTTCACACGAAGGCCACTTAGAAAAGTGAAATGGAACGGTACTGCTATTGTAACAACACAACTCTGTACTGTTTTAAAGTTAGTGTATGTTTAAATAATAGTGCTGTGCTGGTACTATTCTACCCTAGTGTGAAACTAGCATTACCTTTCTGAACTGTACAACGGAAATTTTACTGTAGATGTTGTTTACTTACTCCGCAATAAAGCCATGTATAAAGATTTGAAATTACCACACATCCTGCCTTTAAGCTATCTTGATACATTTTCATTCCGTTAACGCAGCTAGAAGATACCTATTTCGATAATGATAAATCTATGTAGTTACTTAATCCAAGGCAAGCTTCGAAAGAACAAGTTTAGATTATAAAGGCACTACTGAAATGTTACAGGAGTTAATACTACCTAGGAGTTAATGTAATTATGATTATAAAGTATTAAGTGTGAACTTCGTGACATAGACAGAATTCTACCGAAAGTCCTCAACGGTGACGGAACGTACAGCGGTGACATTTCACTACAGCCAACATTCAGGTCAAGCAAGATATATTTCATGTCAATTTACTAAAAATATCATTGGTTGATATTCCCAATTCTGAGGAAATTATGCGTACCGTAAAGTGGCTATCGTGAAATCTAACTGTTGATAAATATCAGAGCTTAAATAAATTTATATCCATAAGCTTTCATAGCGTTCATTTAATACAAGATTTGAAAGCGATAAAACAAGTCAAAAGTTTGCCCGTTGAGAAATGAAAGTTTAATGAGCGGTGCACCCAGTTTTACATATGATTTAAATATTACTTTAATAGTGACAGTAAATTATGAGCTTAATTGAAAAATATAATATCTAAACATTCGAGTAGAAGTTTTAATGCGAAGGTAATAAAGGTCTCTAACAGATCGCAGGTACGATCTGCCACGTTGACGGAACGTTTGTGTTTACTTGACATGATTTATGCACCCTCTGGCAACAATAAAACTAGTGAGAAAACACGAAGAGCCTCCGCAACAGTTGAATATCCCCGTATAGCTCGTTCCAGGGAAGTGGCAAGCGGCAGGGGAAGGTCTAACTAAACTGGTGGTCAGTGACCTGCTTCAGGCGGTCGTGAATCCACTAGGCGCCTGATACGGTCTCCGCAGCTTAGGAATATTTGCAAAGCGGAGAATTTTCATGTTCACTTTCGAGCACAACACGTTCCTATCGAGATACACAGGACGGAAAGAACTTTTTGCAGACATTTATCTTGTCGCTGTTCTACTATTTTAATAATTTTTTTCTTTTACCTATTTGCAAGTGGTGCGGTTCCGGCACTTATCGATAAATAAGATCGCGGCACGAAAACGTCACGTCCGCTAAAAGAAGACGTTATTAATAGATTGAGACACAAAATATACACAGATAACACGTCGACGGCTAGAAAAAATCCGTGTAAAAAGTGGGTGGGTTATAAAAGATCACTGTGATCTCATAAATCGTACGCACCATTCATGTTTAGAGTCGAGCAAAAAAATGAGATTTCCTACGCGATATCATCTCGTCCGGTGGCCACTACCTTTTTATATCTATGGGATAATTTCGATCTCGGATGACACTGCAAAACAATTTACCGAGTGACCTTTGTCAAAAAAAAGTTCAATCCTACGAAATGCTTATAATATCTCAATAGATTTTTTGAACGATAAAAAAAGAGAAATTTCGAGATGTCATCGTGGGTCGGACACAAATAAAAATATTAATTTAATCGACGCATGTGTAGTATCACGTAACGCACCAGCAGGGGGCGCTACCGGCGACTTTAACTCATACGTGGTCGGGTGGCGCGAAGCAGTCGAACGCCGGCCATATTTCAACTGTTATTACTCTACAACTATGAAGTTATACGCAGACGATAGATATCAAAACATATAACGGGTGCATATATTACAATGCAAGATCACAGCTATTAATGGAAGTTGGTTCCTCTTATTTATAATAATTATGTTCAAAAATATTAATAAAAGGCTAGGTTATTGAATGATATAGGATGTCACGAATTTGTTAACAAGTATTCTTATTTAATTTCGTCATGCAGTAAATGTTACCTTGATATAACTAGAAAAAATTAATAGAGTACTTTGTGACAATTGAAAACTTAAAGGTAATGTAAAATGTTATGGTAAATGTTGGTCTTTCCCATTATACGACGTAAATAAAACAGTGCGGTATTGAAATCAAAAATATTATTTCAGATAATAGTCTTGTTCGGTGTCGTATTTAGATCCCAATGAGATTTATTAATAGTAATATCATTTCCATTTACCTAACCGAAGTAAAACGTATATTTCTTGTGAAATAACATCAAATGTAAAATGAGACATAAATATTTTTTGAATAATGATTAATTGCGTTCCTCCAGCGCAAGATGTTTTGTAGGAGCCGACGCGGTTTGTTTGTTGAACATGCGTCTTACCGACATTCAAGTGTTTTATTTATTTTTATTTCTATGTTATCATATTGTCATTGACAAATTATGAAATACGATAGTTTTTTAATATACCGGTAAATTTTAAAGGATTATTCAGTATCAGTAATCAAAACATTATTCGAAAAAAAGAAAACAATAGTTACTCCCGATTGCCTGACTTTTATAACTTATTTTGAAGTTATCTAAACTTCAAGTTACTATAATGATGGCACCAAAAGAAGAAGAATAACATATTTTTTAGGATAAACTGACAAAATAGGTGCAAAGTAAACGCATGATTCTGCGATCATAATAAATCTGTAATTTAAATAATTCACCAAAAATACGTCTCTTAACTTACAATCCAAACAAAACAAGGAATCACACACATTAAACAAACGTCCATTAATCTTAATTTAATTACACGAAACATGTTACAATCGGAAGGCTTTAGAAACATGTTTTCAGGCTTTTAATAGAGAAGTTGCCTTTGTATACAAAACGTTGTTATTCTAAATTTGAGAGAGGCTCGAGTAATAAATAAGGCTTCAATATAAAGGTATTGGGTCCGTGTGCCACTGATACAGATGTCTCGGAGTAGATAGCGGCGCGTACAAAACGGACTTACATGGATATCACATTAGCCGACTGACGTGTAGTGAGACCATACGCCGAGGGGATATTATACCTTTTTAAATTTACTCCTCATTAATAAATGATAAAAAAACCATTTAATTATTCTCTTATTAATATATTCGTCATATAACGGTTTCTTTACTAAGATTAATTACATTGATTAATTTTAAAAGTATTTTTAGAGGTCAACTTAGTTAAAAGGTAAATTGTGTATGATAAAGTAACTTTATTAACTTGATAACTTAAATGCTGATGTGTTATAAATTTTTGACATTATACTTTAAATCTAATGTGCGTGAGGCTATAATGAATTTACATTTTAATGTAGTTTTATTGTC